CCACCTCGTGTGCCCACCAGCAACTGTTTTTTGTGTTTTTTTTTTTTTTTTGCTATAGGGCGCGTGGCTCGCCAGACAGACAGAAACAGACAGAAAGCAAGATATCACCCCCCCAGGGTGGATGGCCACGCTGCAGTCCCTTCTCAACCATTCTCCTTTCAGGATCTTGGACACGCACGCACACGCACCTGGCGTGAGTTTTAAGTCACCAGGTCCGGGACTCGAACCATGTTCGACTACATGGGAATCCAGCAACATAGTCATTATGCTAACTGCTGGTCCCTAAAAATAATTTATTTAAGAGAGATTTTTACTACAGAGGGCATGTGTGCTCGCTGGAGAGACAAAGAGACAGAAAGTGAGTAATTCTCCGGGGGGATGGCCATGCCACAATCCCTTCTTGATTCTTCTCTTGGGATTCTGGGCATGCACGCACATACACCTAGCATTTAAATGACCGGGTTAGGGACTCAAACTGTGATCAACTGTGTGGGAATCCAGTGATGTAACCATTCTGCCCTCTGCTGGTCCCTAATTTAAATTTTTAATATTTTTAACTCAGAGTCTTTTCATGTTACAGTCCTGTCTCACCCTCTTATCCTGGGACTACAGGCACATGCCCCACACCTGGCTCTGTTTCAAATAGGATCTTGCTATGTTGTCCAGGCCAGCCTTGATTGAGCTCACAAGCCTCCTGCCTCAGTTTCCCTGAGGCATTGGGATTACAGGTGCCTACCATCACAATGGGCCTTGAGGTTGGACCAGAAACCAAACCTGGGCCTCCCATGTGGACCCAGTCTGAGACGGATGCATAGTCTCAGAAGTGTGTGCCATAATGGCAGGACTATTATTTCTGGAAGATGTGATCTCAGATCTTTAGCCTCCTGCTAAACTAGGCACTTCAACTATGGCAAATGTCTTAACGTGAAACCTGACGTAATTTTTCCCTCCAAGAAATGGCAGATCACCTATATAAAAGGAGAAAGATGGCTACGCTTGGGTACATCTGAAACTCTGGTTAAAATACCCGT